AATATATCTCTGTATAAACCATGAAAATATTTTTAAAATGACGCACATAAACCACGTCTACCTACAACTTTTAAAAACTTTTTAACGGTCATACGTAAGTCATTATCGAAGGCATTGTCGAAGTCTGGGTCGTTTCGGGCCGCTCTTTCGGCTTGGGTTCTGGGCTCTGGGCGTGGGAGCAGCCGCTGGTTTGGCTGGTCCAGCTTGTGCTCCCGTCCCGGTCAGGGAGGGCGTCTGAGGGGAGTCAGAGGTCTCCCTGGCTTGGCTGCAGGCCTGGAGAGGCTAGCATGAGAGTCCGTCTGCTGGACAGTCATATGGACAGACATGCTTTTGGGGGATAAGTTCTCTGTGTGGTCCATCTTAGCAGCAGGTCTGACAGAGTTAGCCTGTAATTTTGATTTTTTCTTGGCACTAGAAGCAATATATGGCTTCATAGTGACTGCCATGGTCAGTGCCTTGCATCGTTCGTCATTATTTATATCAGTTTGTGTTTTTTTGTGATTTTTTGCCATGTAAATAAGCAGTTAGTTCGCCCTCCCACGCCCCCACCCACCACGGAGTCCAACAGGGGGAAGCTGTATGTCAGAGCCAATGTCTAACAGCTACAGGGTGGTGAAAGGGTATACGCAGCCAATAGCCATTGAACGGCACTCAGGGGCCTGCATGAGTGCCAACGGCACCATGGCTGCTTGGCCCTAGCCTCGCGAAGGAGACCAGCTCATTGACCTAACCGGGCCAGGGTCGGGCCACCAGTCTTGCCGGAATATGTAATGAACTGTGAATACAATGATGTCCCGCAAGAATGTGGAAAAGTAGCGTCACTGCCATCACCCATTTAGTTTATGTATGTGAACGTTGTGTTGTTTGTGGGAAGGGGAATAGAGTAGAAGATATGGGGAAAGGAGCGATAGACTGTGCATGTGAGTATATGTGTGTGTAGTGTACGTGCTGGGCTGCGGGAGTATAAAGGTTGGTAAGCGTGAATGAGCCGAGGAGAGGCGCGTGCGTATACCAAGGGAGTAGCGATTACTGAGACCAAGAGCTGTTTCAGCCACTGAACTGTTAAATCCCTTTTCCTTTACATAGGCTTGCGAGGGAAATTGCGGCAAATAATAAAACATTTATCAAAATAACGTAGCATAACACTTAAAACAGTAAAACACTAAATGGATTAAACCCCCAAAAGCAATAAAAACAATGAAATCAATAAAAGCAATAAAAGCAATAAAACCAAAGCACATACGAAAAACACTAAAATAATAAATAAATAAAGCACCAGATCACTGTGTCACAATCCGCATATCCAGTCAAATTGTCTCTCACAACCTATATCATCCTATATTAACCTATATTATATCCTATATATTAACCTATATTATATCATCCTATATTAACTATAATACATTAATTAACCTATATTATATCATCCTATATTAACTATAATATATTAATTAATCTATATTATATCATCCTATATTAACTATAATATATTAATTAATCTATATTATATCATCCTATATTAACTATAATATATTAATTAACCTATATTATATCATCCTATATAATATGTTAATATTATATTATATTAATACCTATATTATATAATCCTATATAACCTATATTATATCAACCTATATTAACCTAGATTATATCCTATCAACCTATATTATCAAGCTTCACAACCACTTAGCTGTCTTTGGGAGGCCCATTCCGGGGATCCCTGAGCAGTCCGACCAGTCTAAAGACCAATCCCTGAATGGCCCTGGCTCTGTTTTCGTACTTCCCCACGTTGTTTTTTTGGCGCGAGAACCAGAGCATTGTGGTTCTTTCTCATGTTCTTAGATCAATAAAATAAACTTTAGAAATAAGGTAAAATAGGAAAATAAAATACTTTGTCTGATAAAATGATTAAAATGATCATTAACGTAAAATGAATAAATAAATGATCTTATAGTAGAACCATTGGGGAAGAGTGGCTTAAAAAATCAACAAAATTCAAAAATAAAAGTAGATATACTAAAAAAAAGGTACTATAAAATCTTCTGAAATGAAAATAAAAAAATCTGGGTATTAAAACTGGAATTAATAAGATAAATGATTTTAAAATTTAAAAATAAATAGAATTCTCTTTATCATTTCCTTATACGTTTGAGAGAGACTGGTGCTATCCATATAAAAATATATTATACATTTATTTTTAAAAAATACAAATAATGTAAAAATCAGCGGTCTGTGGCAACACTGTCTTACGCATCCTCCTCATTAGCGAGATAAGTGCTCACGCCCTGAGCTTCACTAGAGGGATGGCGATCGAGATTTAAGTTGCCATAGTAAGGGGAGGTGTAGAGCAGTCCCTGGCAACGTGAAACCGCGGCTTCCATTCTTGTTAGCTGTAGTGCAGGGCAAAACGTCGCCACGCCGCGACTCCGCCAGGAGCGTGTTGCCACCCCAAGTTCGCCTTATTTTCCGTTTCGATGTAATATTTCGCCTGTGGGAGAGTTGAAGGTGAGAGATATTTTGGAAAGGGATACCTCCTGGAGTGAGACGATGAGATGGGTCCATGTCGTTCACTACAAATAAGGGACCAAAGAGGCGTGTTGCAAGCAGTTGCCTTGCGGCAACTGCTTGCAACACTGCTCAACCTTAGGGACTTCCATCTCCACAGCCACAAGGGTGCCAAGCAGTACAAACACGTGGGGAGGTGGAGCCCCTGGGGAGAGACCAGAGGCGGTGCCATTCCACCTACAGGACAGGCATCATTGTTTGGAACCACTTGGTCCTCCTTCTCCAGTGGGCCAGCCGCCCAAAGGGGGTTCACCTCCACAGGGCGCTCGGGTCCTGCACCTCTTGGAGGCGGCTCCAGTTGCAGGACCCGGGAGATGCAGCGTCACTGATTCCCTTATTCGTCGAGTTCCCCACGATCGAAGCAGGCATAGGGGGGGGGGGGGGGAGCGGCTTCGTTGCTCTTGTGCCGCGATTCGGGCGAAGGGAACAGGGATGCCGTCGCCGCCTAGACTGAGCAGTGCTTGCGTGCTCTCTGGTGTGTGTGCTCTGTTGTCATTAAATTTATGCACACACACGTATATATATACATTTATAGATATCATAATAATGATAGTAATATTGATGATGATAATGTCAAGAGTAATAATATTAATGCCGTCAATAACAACGACAA